TACTGTTTTGAGGAACGCAGGATTTTCTGGTTCTATTTTTCATATTTTGATGAAACACAGGATTTTCTGGTTCTATTTTTTCTATTTTAATGAAACCCAATGTTTTTTTGTCTTATTTTTTCTATTTTCTATTTTCTATTTTGATGAAAGCCGATTTTTCTATTTTCCTCTATTCCATTTTCTATTTTTCTATTGCATTTTCTGTTTTCAGACTTTTGATCGCGATCTTAACATCGATGTGGTTTATAAGTGAAGTCAACCTCACAACCTCAGAGGAGGTCACGGTCGATGTTGACGCTACATTGGATAAGCCAATCACTGCCGTGGAAGAGGCAGCTCCGTTGTTCATCTTATCTGATGCCTCGCTTGCAATGCAACAATGGTGTCTCTCTCCCAGCACTCTTGATTCAGAGTTCCTCATCGACTTTGATCTCGAAGAAAGAGCCGGAACCCACTGTTGCTGCGGAGGACCGCGAAGGCCGCCGCGATTGACCTGGAGAAAATGAACGCCCACAAACCAGCGGCCGCTGAAAGCCAGGTCGATCAATGCAAGGAGCAGGAAGGTTATTGGAACGCATGTCTCTTGGTCTCGAACAGCACGGCGACCCAGCCTCCGGCAATGCGTCTCAATATGGAGGGAGATTGGGCGCGTGTTGGATGAGGTGTTTGCATACCTGATCTTCCAGCGCAAGCGTCTCCTCGATGACTTCGTGGCGTTGAGTTTTGCCGAGATGAAGGCGAAGATGCGAGACCACCGCGCGCCCTTCGTGAGGAGGCAGTTCTTCTGTCCCGCGTTCATAGACGAGGATACGAAACTTCCAAGGGCACCCGCCGAAGAAGAATGCCATGAATGGGCAACGGGCCAACAAGAGGTTTGGATGAACAAGAATCGCTACGACGAAGGTGAATCCTCTTTTCTCCCGTGTGCTATGAAGTGATCTTGTGAGCAACTTTATATGGGAGACTTACCTGTAGGCCTACACTACCATGAATGTACACGAGTTCTCAGATGGTTATCGCGAAATTCGACCGAGTCAGGGTGAAGGACAGAGGAGTCTCATCAGCTGCTCCTATCCAACGCGTTGCGGATCACGAAGTTGCGATACACTGCGAGTCGTTTCATGCCACAGGACATCTACAAGGATGGGATCCTTCACATTTGCGTCAAGGGGGCTTTATGAAGCTCAACATACACGTAACCGTCTCGAGCCTGAGAATTTGTGTCTGGCCGACCAGCTTGGCTCCATATTCAATGAAAATTTCCGTGAAATCTCTGCAAGAACATCAAGTATCAGGTCAAAAGTTGGGATGACTGGCACGAGGTCAAGAGGTGGACCGCAACAACCCAGGACTTCATTATTTCGAAAGCGGATTGGAGCGGAGCACTGATGAAGCGCAAGATGGAAAGACTTATGCCTCCAACTGCAACCTCGATGAGATGGATCCGTGAACATGATGGGTTACATCACAGTGGCCAATGATTTCCAATTGGCGTGTCATGGAATGATCCGGCGTCTTGAGATGTGCCCGACTCAAGTGAGTGGGCAAATTTTGTTTCGCAATGATGCTTTGGGCTCTGCCCGGCATCCAAGCTATAATAGCGCTGTTTCAGAAACTTGCTGATTGTGTAAGCGTTCGAGCTCTTGCGATACTCGTTTCACTCAACTAGTTGATGTTCGGCGTGGTAGCCATAATTGCTTTCCATGCCCCAATGTTTGGCTCAAGTTTCCCAAAGCTCAAAGTGGCTTCACTCATGGCAATGGGAATTGCGTTTTTGCCTTGAGCGCATTGGTGGCATTCTGGATTGAGCAGAGCTTCGATGTCCGCAATCCAATCGAAGAAAAGCACTCGTAACTAGGTTCGAGGGACGACCGTGTGTGTTAGCTCAACTTTCGTGCTAGCAAAACGTCGAAAGTGTTTCGCAACAGAACCACAGTTTTGTGATTTGTATTTCTAACATGCTAAACCTTGGGGTTTTGAGACGGCGAGATATTTGATAGATATCCGTCGCTGTTTGGAATCAAGCCCCCTGCAAGTGAGATGGCCTTTGACGAGGGCCCGAATTGGCTGGAAACTGGCTAAAGGAGCTAGTGAGCTACAAGTGGGGCTATTTCCTCCCCAAGCCGAGAGATCACTATGCTGGCTTCAAGAAGAAGATGGCAGGCTATGGCAAAGGGCGCGCTACTGTCACGGCTACAGCTACCAGGCATGGTCTGAAAGGAGCGTGCTACTCTCGGCGCTATCCACAGTTGGCGAAGAAGGACCTGCCAGAGCGTGCCAGAAGGCTTCGACACCTACGCCCGATCCTATGAGGGAATGCAGAGGCGCTGCTAGTTTCGCGCTGCCAGCGCTGCCAGGGGCTTGGATGAGAAGGAGATCGGCCTAGCGGACGCCAAACGCAAAGTGGCGCCATATAGAGCCCAGACTGCCATCGAGTGGTGCCCGAACTGGAGCAGCCCTTGCTGGAGGCAAGCCAAGGTGCTAGATAGGGTAGCAAGCTATGTGATAGTCGAGCTGCCGCGTGCTATCTTTCGGCTACGTCTGGATGCTGGATGCTGGATGCTGGATGGGCAGGCGTCGAGGGTCTGAGAACTCTCAGAATCTCAGAAATTTCGTGGACAGTACACCCATGCTTGCAGGATAGGTTGGTTCAACGACATCGCCTTCGGCGACTAGCTGTTGTTCCAAAGGAGTTGCCATTGGCAGCCCTTCAGGCCTAGCCCAGCGACAGAGCAAACACTTCGATCGGAAAACATCATTTGGGTTGAGCCACTGGCTAGCATCCAGGAACTATCTTCAGCGCAAGAAAGCTGGCAAAGCTGTCGTGCTAACAGTGAGGAAATCCGAAAAGTTCGGAAGTTGAAGCCGTGGTAACCCTCAGTGGCAAAGCGTAGGAGGTGGCTAGTTGAAAGCTAGAAACTTCTCCCGGGCTACAACGAGGGGATGGCTAGCTGAAAGCTAGAGACTTCTCGCAGGCTACAACGAGAGAGGATTCGAATTAATTACTGTTGGCGGGCTCCCCGAGGCTGTTCTCCTTCCGCGTTGGTGGCGCCGATCGGGGACGCGCCCTACGTTTCCTCGCGCAGCGCTGCCCGCAGGTTTCAGGTCAGCCTCCGCCTCCTTCGTTTCTGTGCCGGCCACTGCACGCTGACCCACAGCATCCGCGCCCGGGCAGGAGCTTGACACTTTTGTGCGGGAGTGCTTCTGTGGCCTCACAGGCCTTCACCTCACTGACCTGCAGTGAGAGCAGGCTGCTCGCGGACTCGCGCGCTCAGGGCTTGGACTTCGCTCCTGTAGTGCGGCACGCAGCGGCCGCCTACCTTGGCTGCGTTGGGCTTGTGCTCCGGCACGCAGGGAGCTCGACCAAGGGTCTGCGCCGAATGGGCTTGCCTCTGAGCCTGTCGTCTGAATCGCCGCCACTTTTTTCGGCGCAGGCCTCGAGCAGCCGCTCGCCACTCACCAATAAAGCAGAAAAACTTTCTGCCCTCTCCGACACTGCCAGTTGAAACCGGCACTTGTCTGTGTCTTCTGTCACAGCCCCCGTTTTTCTGCGTTCTGAGGCTGAGCAGGGCGCGCGTGCGTGGCTTGCCGCCATCCCAACGTACTCGCATGGAGAGCGCTGCGTTTGTGATGGAGCTTAGACTGCGCGACGTTACGGGCAGTTCTCCTTACATGCAGGCACCTGTGGTGGGGCGCGCGCTCAGTGACACGACGCGCTGCGCGACCTTCTGGCTTCCTGGGCCGACCGCGCCTTTTGCTGCCACAGCGATTGGATGAAGCGCCTGGCTCCGCGACGGCCGGCAGATATCTTCCTGCCCTCCCTGTCTGGGGGCCCTGCTGCACTTGACCTGGCCGTCACGGCCCCGCAGCGGCAGGAGTCCCTTGCGCAGGCCGGGCAGCAAGCCGTTTCTGCCGCGTCCCAGTATGCTGCTGTGAAAGCGGCGATTTGAACACCAGCCAGGTGTGCGCTGCCCAGGGTGTGCGCTTTGTACCTCTTGTTGTCGAGTCTACCGGAGCCTGGGAGCCCAACGCTTCCAAGACTCTCCAGCTGTTTTCGCGTGCTGCTGCCCACGGGCGCCGATGCTGGGCGTTTGCGTGCCGACCTCCTCCAGGGGCGCTCCGCCGCGGCGCGCCCTTTGCCACTTCATGCTTCATGCCTGCCTTGTGGCCTGCCGCCTGACTGCTGCCTGCCCCTGCCCATGCTTCGTCGCCGTGTTGTTGAGTCCGGTCGACCCCGGCTGGTCTTGGTGATCCGGTCGGTCGATTCCGGCGCGTGCCACTAGGGTGTACATAGCCGTGGGGCGCCCGAGAAGTGGCCTTACC